CTTGAATGCCATATTGCCTGCTTAAAGGCAACAAAAAAGAAACCTATAGAATTAAATCTTGAAAACAGAAGGCTAATCCACATCCAAAAAAAGAACTGGTGGAGTCTGATTGCAAATCGAAGTATACTGTTTTCACTTTATTTTTTTTCATGGTTTTTTCCTTTAGCAAACTATAATCTTTTTTTTGCAAACTGTTTCTTCTTTCACAACATGACTAATATGGAAATAGGTTTTACATGATTGCACATATATAACCCATATCAAATTGTTTACCATCTTATGGAGGGGGGAGGGAAGGAAAGCAGGGAAAGTTTGGAATTCAAAATTTTATAAAAAATAAATGTTAAAAATTGTCTTTACATGTAACTGGAAAAAAAGAACTATTAGAAAAGAAAAGAAAAGAAAGCACAAACATATCTGAAATTCTAGATTTTCTGCATCAGCAATTAAAAGCAAAAGTCAGAATGTTCAAGTTGACAAAGCTGCACAAATAACAAAGTAAACAACCCAACATCAGTGAAGAACTTTGCTGTAGAGGCTTGAGAAGCAAAGGGTTCAGAGAAGAGAGAGAACCTTGAAGGAAGACTATTCAGAAAACTTCCATCACAGAGACGGTCACAAGACCTGAAACACCACAAAAACACAAGCTGGATCAATTGAGAAAAAGAAAGCTTGATACTGTTAACAAAATGAACAACAGAATAATCACATCGAGGGAGAAACTTTAGTTTTAGAAACTAAAACTTTAGTTCCTCTACAAAATTTGAAAGAGGTGGGGCTGGATGAATCTGTAATTATTGGCTTCAGTTCTTTACAGTGGCACGTGAGTGATTAGCAAAGCTCTTTGCTGGCTTCTTCTAAAATGCAAGCCTGAACCCATCTCTCTTAACAGACGTCACTTGTCTACTACCAAAAGATGCCAGTGACTCTCTCCAAAAAGAGGCCAATTATGTGTGAAATATTACTAGCAAAAAGAGTGTGCCCAAACACCACAGGGGTAGAAAGAGTAACTTATTACTGATTCAGTCATTATTACCTTTCTTCTGAAAATACCTTCCATTTATCATGTATTATTTGTATGTGCCTAATTCTTCACGTTGTCTCCTCCATTAGAATGTTATCTTTTTCGAAGACAGGGACTGTTTTTGCCTTTCTTTATATCCCCAGTGCATAGCACAGTGCCTGGAACACAGGAAGAGCTTACTAAATGCATGTTGACTGATTGATTGAAGAAACCACCCAAAAACACTACAACATTTTTTTAAAATTGTGTTCAGTTGTTTTTCAGTCGCGTCTGACTCTTCATGACCCCATTTGGGGTTTTCTTGGCACATATACTAGAGTGGTTTGCCATTTCCTTCTCCAGCTTATTTTACAAATGAGGAACTGAGGTAAACAGGATTAAGTAACTTGCCCAGAGTCACTCAGCTAGTAAGTGTCTGAGGCTGGATATGAACTCTGGAAGATGAGTCTTACTGATTCTCAGCTGAGTGCTCTATCCACTGTATCACCTAGCTGCCCTGTTTGACACAGTCCCACATTCATGGTCTATTCATGACCTGTGAGTATTTAAAACTACCACCAGAACAACAACGATAATAAAATGCTGGAATATTTGATGTCCCCATGAAAAACTGTTGTCTACTTAAAACACATCACCAACACAATCATGTCAAGAAAAATTCATATAAATCATGTCACTTTTCAAGGAAATAGTTTAAGTCTATTATGGTTCTGCCTTAACTCTATTATCATCTTTCCTAAATAGAACTAAGTATGGCTTCCAAATTAAAAGGGAGTCAGACCAAAACGTTTTATTAATCATTTAATGCAAATGGATGAAAATCTCCACTGAAAAACATATCAAACAGATTGTTCATTTCATGGGATCTTTCTCCAAAGATATAAAAAGGTCATTTGAACTTAATCAGTGCATTTTTTTTAAGACTAGGTCTCCCAATCTCACCTAGGCTGGAAAGGTGGTAGCCACTAATGGGCGCAATCCCACTGCTCTTTGGCACGGAAGCTTTGGCCCACTCTATTTCTGACCTGGGCCAGTTTGCACCTCCTTAGGCAGCCCAAACTCAAGGACTCGCCATATTGGTGTGGGATTTAATGCAGACACCCGATTGGCTTTAGGTCTACTGCAGTTTAGAACTTTTGAGCTCAATTGATTCAGAAGCCTCAGCTGCTCCAGTAGCAGTGATTACAGGCATGTACCATTATGCCTAACTTTTTTGGGAGTAGGTAGGGTGGGAATGGCTCAGAGTAATTTTAGATATATGCCAAAGAAAGATAGAGACTAAAGAATTCAACCTTTAATCAGGAGATGAAGTTGAACTAGTGGTCAGAGAGATATTTACAATACCTCGGTCTCCTCCAGGCGAGGCGCACTGAACATAAGGCTATTCAGGAGAAAACTACAGCTGTGTATTGTCAAGAGATTTATTGGCATCCTGAAATAAAAGTTCATTGGGAAGAACATGTTTAAAATCATTAACACCTACACAATACTATCTTTTTCTTTTTTGTGTGTATGATACTATCTTAATGTATACTTTCAGAACTCTAAAACAGACCATAACAGACTTCGAAAGTATCCTAACAGAAATCCATATGATACTATGAAATACGGGACCCATCACCCTAGGGCAGTTATAGAAAGATTGGTTCTTCTCAGAAAGGAGGAAGAAGATTGATAGAAATTATCAGAGCCCATTATCAACAAGTCAAACACCTACAGAAACACTTTTGAAACAAGCAGGTATCACTTAGCTAAGCAATAGCAAAGGTAGATAACGAGTATATGTCATTAGATTTGTCAAATGTAACAGAAATTGGCTTCCCTCCAGATGGAGCCTATGAAATGGCTAAGATCCAAGAGTGGAAGGTAAAGGTGCTCCATGGGGAACATTAACATGAAATCAGCCAACAGTACGTTGACAAAGAAAATTCAAATAAATGTCTGAGTCATGTAGATTTGTTTCTTGAAAAGGAGGGCTGTATGATAGTGATTTAGGATTAGTCCATCAGAAATTACCCTTAAAGTGCCTGGACTTACCAATCAATGCAGATTATGCAAGAAAGTGGTAGAAACTGCGTAACATATCACTTTCAGGCACCTGTCAAATACTTAGGCAAAACATGACCCAGGAGCTAGGATTATACACCAGAAGCTTGAAATCTTTTACAAACAGATATAAATATTATGTCCATACTATAAACACAGACATCAAAATAGCTTTGAGAATTCAAACAATAAACGGGACTAGAATCAGACCATTATCATAGACTAATCTGTTGCCACAATCAACAGGACATAACTGTTGATAAAAATGTTAAAGAATTTTTTTTAAACTACTCTCTCCAAAGTTGCCAGGGATCTCTTAATTACTAACTCTAATGGCCTTTTCTTAATCCTCAGCCTCCTCTACAATATTTGATCCATGTCGTTGTTGAGTTATTTCAGTCATGTCTGACCCTTTGTGATCTCATTTGGGGTTTTCTTGACAAAGATCCTGGAGTGTTTTGCCTTTTCCTTCTCCAGCTCCTTTGACAGAGGAGGAAACGGAGGCAGACAGGGATCAAGTGACTTGCCCAGGGTCACATAGCCAGGAAGTGTCTGAGGTCAGATTTGAACTCAGGAAGATGAGTCTTCCTGGTTTCAAGCCCGGTGTACTGCCTACTGCTTCGCCTAGCTGTCCCCAACAACAAATCACCTTCTCCTGGACACTCTTTGTTCCCCCGGTTTTCATCTCATTAGCTCTCTTTGGTTCTCCTCCTACCTGTCCTACCGCTCCTCCTCAGTTCCCTCTGCTGGATCTTAATCCTTGTCAAACGCCTAGCTGTGGATGTCTCCTTTAGCCCTGCCCTGGATTGTCCTCTTTTCTCTCTATGCTATCTCATTTAGTGACGACTCAGTTGTTGTCTCTATGATGCTGATGACTGCCATATTTATAAATCTATCTCTCATCCCTCTCCTGATCTGCAGTCCTGCATCACCAGCTCTCTGCTGGACATTTTGAACTGAATGTCCCACAAACATCTCTAAATCAACATGTCTAAAACAGAAGTCATTATTTTTCCTTGCAAACACAGCCTTGTTCCAATATCCCCTATCATTCTAGAAGGCACCACCATCCTCTCAGTCATCCAAGTTTGAAACCTTGGTGTCATCCGCAGCTCCTCTCTTCACTCACCCCATGCATCCAGTCGGTTACATTTATACTTTCCCAATGTCTCTCTTGATTTGATTTGCCCCCTTCTTTTCACTCACACAGACGCCATACTGGTTTGGGTCTTCATCACATCTCCCTTGAACTGTTGCAATAACCACCTTGGTCTCCCTTATCTTAAGCCTTCTCTCACTTCAGTCTAGACTCCAATTAGCTGATAAAATGATTTTCTTAAAACCGACCTGCCCATATCACTTCCCTCCTCAATAATCTCTAGTGCTGCCTAATTACCTCTAGTATCAGATATAAACTCTTCTGTCTGGCATTTAAAGATCTTCATAAACTGGCATCATCCTATCTCTCCAGACTTCTTCCACATAGCTGTTCTCCAGGTATTCTGTAGTCCAACCACAGTGGCTGATTTGCTGTTCCTCATACAGGACAAGTAGAGGTGCTGTGTCCCCAGCACCTAGCTCAGTAAAGTGGCCCATAGTAAGCACTTAATAAAAACTTGTTGATAGATGGATTGATAAAACTCAATCTCCTCTCTCCATGACTTGGCACTGTGTCTCCCTCATGCCTGGAATGCTCTTTCCTCATCTCTGCCTCAGAGAATCCCTGGCTTCCTTCAAGACTCAGATCAAATACCACCTTCTGCAGGATGCCTTTCCTGATTCCCTCTAGCTGTTAGTGCTTTTCCTCAGAGATTATATTCCATTTACTCTTTCTTGTATTCATATACATTTACATACACACATGTGTACATGTGTGTATGTGTACATATATGTATGTATGTAAATCCCATTCGATTATAAGCTTCTTGAGGACAGGGACTGTTTTTGCTTTTTCCTCTGTAAATCCAGTGCCTAGCACAGTGTCTCACACATAATTCATGGTTTACAAATGCCTATTTATTGATGCTTAGATGTTGCCATGCCAAATACTCCTAATCTCCAAGCTTCACGTAACAAGAAAACTTTCGAAAGATGAAGACCTAGGAGAAGAAACCAAAGTCATATAGGAACAGGATAACAAGCATGTCCTCCTCCTGCTCTGCCTGCTGCTGGATTTGTCCAGAAGATGCTTTTAGTGAGCCCACCGAAGAGGAGCTGACATCCCAATCCTTTTATTCAATTATAAAAAGAACTCTTTTTATCCAGCTGTATGATCGTCTGTAGAACATTAATGTGAAAGAGTAATAACAGGACAGAGACCTCTCCCAGGACCCAGTTTCTATCCAGACACTATTATAATGGATGAGAAGTATAATGATAATCATAACAACCCATTTATATATTGCTTTTAATATTTGTAATGTACTAATCTCATATCACTCTTGTAAAAGAAGGAGTACAAATATTTTAGCCATATTTTATAAACGAAGAAAATGAGGTTCTTACAGTTTAAATACTTTGTCCACTAGTAATTATAAGAGGTGGGACTCGAATCTAGGTCTCTTGATTCAACGGCATGTTACCTAATCTCAGTAGGGCCTTCATGACAATCTTTTGATTGTTCTCTGATGAACTCTCTGTCCTGCTCCTCTTAATAGCGCTCCAGTCCTTTTCTTCTTTTCTCCAACCCCTTATGCCACCATTGGAGAGGGTGCTGGTCCTGGAGTCAGGAAGATTTCAGTTCAAATCCAGTCCCAGGCACTCACTAGCTATGTGACCTTGAGCAAGTCCTTTAACCATTATCTGCCTCCATTTCCTCTAAATGAAAAATGGGGATAATAATAGCACCTACCTCTCAAGATTTTAGTGAAGATCAAATGAATTAATATTTGTAAAGCATTTGACACATTTCTGGACACAAAGTAGGGACTTAAACAAATACTTGTTTCTTTCCATCCTTCCTTCCTCCCTCCCTCTTTTCTTCCTTCTCTCTTTCTTCCTTCCTCCCTTACTCACTCCTTTCCTTCCTTCCTTCCTTCCTTCCTTCCTTCCTTCCTTCCTTCCTTCCTTCCTTCCTTCCTTCCTTCCTTCCTTCCTTCCTTCCTTCCTTCTTTCCTTCCTTCCTTCCTTCCTTCCTTCTTCTTTTCCCTCTCCAGTGCCTAGCAGTTGCAGGTACAGAGTAGGTACTCAAAAGCCTGTGCAATTAGATTGGATACATTCTCTTGCCTTGGTAAATGATACTTCCCTCTCCTGGTTTCTTCTTAGCTGTTTAGGAAGCACTTTTGTCCATCCAGGGTGCTGTCCTGGGCCACCTTCTCTTCTCTTTCTAAACTCTGTCCCTAAATGGTCTCATTAGTTTCTATGGATTCTATTATCACCTCTAAGCAGATGACTCCCACATCTATATATTTGGCCTTAATCTCTCTCCTTGACCTCCAGTCCCACATCATCATCTACCTGCTGGACAACTTCTGGATGGACATCCATCGATCAATGGATGAGATCAATATTGATATCAATATGTCAAATTCAACATGCTCAAAATAGATTTCATCTTTCCCCCATATGGACCTCTTCCAAACTTCTCTATGATCTCCTTATCTTCTCTCACACAGCCACCCCTTCATTTCAGTCATCTCTCCTTTCAATAGCCTCCTAGTTGGTCTCCCTGCTTCCAGGTTCTCCTCTCTCTAATATACACCACTGCCAAAATCCTCCTCCTTCCTAAGGCATGAATGTGACCATGTTATTCGCCTGCTCAAGAATCTTCAGTGGCTCCCTATTGCCCCTAGGATAAAATACTATTTCCTCAACCTAGAATTTAAGCCCCTCCACAACCTGATTCCAATTTACCTTTCAAGACATTTCGTATTACTCCACCCCACCCTCCACATGCTCTTCACAGTCAAACTGGACTATCAGGTGTTTTGCAAACTCAGCATTTCATCTTCTATGACCATTCATTTCCAATGACTGTCCACCATGTCTGTAAACTAGTCTCATTAACCTAGATGTGGTCAGATTCAAATACCAGCTCTGCCACTTAACAGCCTGTTATACAGGTTATACCCTGGGCAACTCACCTCATTTCTCTTGGCCTCAGTGTCCTCAGCTGGAAGTAGGAAGGTTGGATTATCTGCCTAGAGGTGACTTGGAGTCTGGAAGACCTGAGTGTAAATCTAGATTTAGACTCTTATTAACTGTGTCATCCTGGGCAAATCATTTAACCATGGCATTCCTCAGTTTCCTCAACTATAGAATGGGTACAACAATAGCACCTTGTGAGGATCAAATGAGATATTTGTAAAGTGCTTAGCACAGGACCTGGCACACAGTAGGCATCTTAATAAATACTTGTTTTCTTCCTTCCTCTAAGGTCCCCACCAGTCCAGAATCTATGATCCCATGATCTCTGTCTCAGAAGCATTGCCTGCCTTCAAGTCTTAACTCAGGTGCCACCCCCTTTATGAAGCCTACTGGGATCTCTAGAGTTGTACGTGCTCTGTCCTTCCTCAGTCTACCTTTTCTGTGTATGGGGTATATCTGTCATGTACAGTGTAGTCTCCTTGTAGTCAGGGACCATTTTGTTTTCATCGATGTATTTCCAGTGCTTAGAACAGTGCTGAGGGCAAGGGTGGGGAACCTGCGGCCTGGAGACCACATAAAGGACTGCCCTTGAGGACCTAGAGGGCCGCATGTGGCCTCCAGCCAGCAGGTTCCCCATCCTGGGCCTAAGGCATAGTGGATGCTTTGTTCCTTGAGTTGGGTTGAATGGAATTGCATCAAACTGAAGTGCCCTCACTATTTTTGTCCAAGGTTAGTCTCATAACCTTGGGCTTAGCTCACCCTCAATTTTCACATACAGTGTATCTTACTCTTCATCCACTGAACAAATATTGATTCTGTACATGCCATGTGCCCAGCCTATGCTTGGTGCTGGGGATATAGAGACAAAAAAAAATAGCCCCTGCCCTCAGGGAGCTTCCATTCAACTGTACCTTTAAAATCACCCCCAGTGCCTCAGGCAGCACTACACACAGCAGGTACTTTGTTTGCAGAATGAATGAATGATGCATGTGTAACATAGTCTTTTTCATGTGATTCTAGTTTAAGAGAGAACTGAAGGTCTCAGGCCCCTCAGGACCCATCCATTTACCTGTCTTGTTACCAAGCTCCCTAGGGAATGAGGTCAGCTACTGGCAAGAGCTGGCAAGGGGGCAGCCTGTACAGGGTTTTCAGAGGTGGCTGGAGGGAATGCTTGTTTATGGGATTGTAGATTTAGATCCAAAAGTGCTCTCAGAGATCCCACGGTGCCCACCCTTGTCATTTGACAGATGAGGAAACTGAGACCCCCTGACAATCAGGATGTCAGGGACCTGACATCATCTTCCAAGGTCCAAGAGCCAACACCTTCCTGACAGCTGTGGGCATCTGGCTTGTGCCCAGGCCTTGTTTTACCACGACCATACTGGCCAGGCCTCTGCCCTCTTCCCAACATGCCAGGGACCAAAGTGAGCTTATGTGTCTTTAAGTGCTTGGGGATCCCTGCAGCAGGCGCCACAATAACCCTGAAGTTGATTATTAATTGATGCTAATTAATAAGTTGTATTCATAAAGCTAGCAGAGGCCCTAGGGGCTGGAGCATCAACGGAGGAATGTGTAAGAAATCCAATAGCCTGGTGAACATAGACTGTTTAATTGCCTTCAGGGAGGCCTGCCTCTTTGCTAGCTCAGACTCAGTCATCTACACAGGCTGGAGAATAGCCCCATTGAATGGGAGGTAAGACTAAGGCACCCATCAGGAAGAAGTGAGACAAACACAAGGGCTATTTGGCCACTCAACTGCAAAATTACCTGAGGGGGAGAGGTGTATTTGATATACAACGAGGGTACAGTCAGGAGAATTTGGAGTAAAAGAATATAAGCCTGAAAATCCTGCTCTGCCTCTTAGCATCTCTGGAGCCAGGGCAAATTGCTGCTCTTCTTTGGACCTCAGTTTCCTCATCTGTAAAATGGGAGGGTGAGCTAGGTAACTTCTAAAATCCTTTCTAGCTCTAAATATATGACCCTATGATATATGTGTATGTGTATACATACACATTCATATGTATGAATTATATATATTATATATAACATATGTATAGATTATATATAATATATATAACATAAATATGTAAATACAAATCTACATATCCAATTGTCAATCAATTAACAAAATTTATTAAAGCACCTGCTGTGTATGCTTGGCACCGTCCTGGGAATATGAAGACATAAATGAAGTATTTCCAGCCCTCAGGATTCAAAAAGCATACTGCTGGACTTGTTCCTCTCCTGGGAGGGATTAGGGCAAGGCCCATCAGAATCTCGAGTTCAGAAAAGGAAGAGGAGTACTCACAGGGATGGGGCATAGAGAACCAGGGTTTTACAGTGAGTAGTGCCTCCCCACAGTGTCTCAGCTTCCTTGTGCTTGATAACAAGAGGGTCGTAGGCCTCAGGCACTTACTAGCTGTGTGACCCTGGGCAAGTCACTTAATCCCATTTGCCTCAGTTTCTTCATCTGTAAAATGAACTGGGAAAGGAAATGGCAAACCACTCCAGGACTTTACCAAGAAAACCCCAGATGGGGTCATGAAGTGTCAGACCTGACTGAACAACTGGCCGACAGTCACTTTCAAGGGCTTCCGTACAAGCTGCCTGAATACACGCATAAAATCAAGTACCAAGCCTCTTATGTGCAGTTCCAACAGACACACGTGTGAAGAAAGGCTGAGCAGGGAAACAGCTGTGAAATTTCAAACACACACCGACTGCCTCAAAACTACAGGGGATGAGTCTTTACTGAGGGGGTTTTTTTTAACATCACAAAAGATATCAATAAAAACTCATTTAAAACAACCACAATGACAGAAACAACCGAGTTAGACAGAGGCAGACTGTTGTAGTCAGACCAGACACTCCCCTCGGCTTTTAAAGCCCATTACAACCCGGCCCCAGCCTACCTTCCCCGGGGTTATCGCACATCGCCCTGCTTCATGTGCCATTGTCTGCCTACGCTGACCTTCTGTCTGTGTCCACCCTGCCACACGCCCTCTCTCCTCTCTTTGCCTTTGCACAGCAATCAAACTCTCCTCACTTCTGCTTCTCAGTGTGCTTCAAGACTGCTCAAATTCTGCTTTCCCTGATCCCCCCCGCTGCTCGAGCCTTCCTCCTTGTCTTTAGTTTGTGTATCTCTCTCTTTGTCTCTCTGTCTCTGTCTCTCTGTCTCATCTCTCTCTCTTTCTCTCTCATCTCTCTCTCTCATTTATCTCTCTCTTCATCCCTCTGCCTCTCTCTCTTCATCTCTCTTTCTCTCTCTCATCTCTCTCTCTTCATCTCTCTCTCTTTATTTATCTCTCTTCATCCCTCTGCTTCTCTCTCTTCATCTCTCTTTCTTTGTCTTTCTCTCTTTTCATCTCTCTCTTCATCTCTGTCTCTCTGTCTCTGTCTGTCTCTTCATCTCTCTCTCTCTCTTTCTCTCTCTCATCTCTCTCTTCATCCCTCTGTCTCTCTCTTTCTCTTCATCTCTCTCCCTCTTTTCATCTCTTTTTCTCTGTCTCTCTGTCTCTCTCTCTCCATCTCTCCCTCTTTATCTCTCCCTCTCTTCGTATGTCTCTCTTCATCTCTCCCTCTTCATATCTCTCTCTGTCTCTCTCTCTCCATCTCTCCCTCTTCATCTCTCCCTCTCTTCATCTCTCTCCCTCTCTCCATCTCTCCCTCTTCATCTCTCCCTCTCTCCATCTCTCCCTCTCTCCATCTCTTCCTCTTCATCTCTCCCTCTCTTCATCTCTCTGTATATATACATATATACATATATATATATATATATATGTATGTATGTGTGTATGTATGTATGTATGTATGCAGATGTTGTCTCCCTCCAGCTAGATTTTAAATTCCTTAAGGTTTTGCTTTTGTCTTTGCCTCCTAACCCAGTGCCTGACATATGCTGGGCTCTTAATAAAGGCTGCTTGGTTGCTAACACACATGAAGATCCATGCCAACACATGCTTGGTGTATATGTAGTAAGTCATATCAGATATAGACACACAGAAACACACATCTAATGGTAACACAAAGACTGACCTGCAGACATACCGCCCCCATTCCAAACATACATGTACATATACGCACACACACAGAGCATGTCTCAAGGAATATAATCTACAGCGGCCAGCTCCCCTGGCCCCCGCATGTGTTCCTACAAAAAAATCTCCCCTGGCTTCCCCACCCTGTGCCAACGACTAGGGCCTTGGAACAGCACATATGAACGCAAACAGCTTGGTCAGGCCTGAGCTGTGATCCTGAGGGCCCATCTCCTTCCCAGCAAGGGCAGCCGCTGCCACCCCCAGGAGCCATCTTGGCTTCTTCCCTTCGCCAGAGAAGAAGTGGTGCTGGAGGCCTGGCTCTCTGAGCAGAAGGAGCCAGCCGGTCCCAACATCCCATCTCTCACCATTACTCCATGCCTCCTGGAGCTCAGACACTGTGCATCAGTGATCAGGTTACCCAAATATATCAGGCCTTCCCTTGATGACTGAATGAGTAAGGCAGGAGGATCTAGAATCTGCTGGGAGCTGGGGGTGTGGGGGTGGGGAAACTTTCCTCACCCCATGCATGGGGAGCAGGCTGTGGTGCCTTTGCTTTGCTCAGCTTAAGAGCGTGTGAGCAGAATCTGCAGCTTACAGTCTATTTCCCGGGTACAGGCTCTCCATCCCCCCCATCACTTACTTCCTTCTCTCTTGTCTGTCAGCCACTGGAAGAGCAGGGGAAAGAGAGGAGAGACATTGTCATGCCTAGTTCCATACTCAGTGAGCATGTCTATACAAATATGAATGCAGATACCTCTGGGGCATCATGACAGACAGCCTGGAATAGAAGATAGAGTGCCTGACTTGGGATTTAGAAAGACCCGGGTTCAAATTGCACCTCTGACACTTACTAGCTGGAAGACCACAGATAAACCACTTAACCTCTCAGCCTCAGTTTCCTGATCTGCAAAATGGAAATAATAATAATAATAGCACCTGCCTGACAAGGTTGTTGTAAGAATATCGTATGTTGAATGCTCTGCAAACTTTAAAACGTTATATAAATGTTAGCTATCATTATCAAAGGAGCATAAATTTAGAGATTAACTGGACCTCAGTCTACTCCAACCTCCCCATTTTACAGATGTGGAAATTTAGGATCCGAGGAGTTTGATGATTTGCCCAAGGTCACATTGGCAGCAGAGTGGGTATGTGGACCCAGGTCCTGAATTCTTACCACACTGTGCTGATTCTCAGCGCTGATGGTTGACTTCCTAGGATCTGGGCCAGGGTCGAGGGTTGGAGCTGGGGTTGGGCACAGATAGGCAGATTCCCCCCGTTCCTTGAACGAATGCTTTTCTCCAGCCGCCCATGGAAGGCTGAAATAGCAGCACAGGCCGAGCTCGCCACCTGGGGGCCACTGGGGAGAAGTGCTCTGCCCCGAAGGCCAGAAACCTGGAAGAGGAGCAGGCGGCCCTATTACCCATTTGGCTTCACCACCAAGCACTAGGGCTGGTTTTTGTGAACAAACAACAAGTCAGATTATAAGGCAGGATTCCTGGGCTCAGTTTCCCCATTCTGCTGGATATTCCAAACACAAACTAAGGCACATGCTTTTGGGAAGAATAAATATCCCATGTCTGCTCGCTCCTGGAGACCCGAAGGAAGAGATATGGAAAGTGCTTGGAGAGCCTTAAGAAAGAGTTGAGAAAATGATATCATCAAGGCTGTAGGGCCCTCTTGACTGCATTTCAATTCCACGTATAGGACCTCAGACACTTCAGTGTACCCAAAGTTTCAGTATTCACCAGGGCTTTCTCTAGCTTGGCATATATACCCTTGCATGGACACATAATTATAGATATACACACACACACACACACACACACACACACACACACACACACACCCCTTCACCCCTTTGCAGGATCCCAGGTACCTCTACATTTTTGCAAGAGATTCAAAAATCACTTCCTTATATACCCACCCAGTCATAGATAGATCCCCACACACAGCCTTACACACACACACACACACACACACACACACACACCTCCTACCCCCACTCAGAAATACAGGCCCCAGGTACACACATCTTCTAATGGTGCAGTCAGACACCTCCATACCAACAGACATGCACAGCGCCTTGCATCCCACCCCCACCCTGAGACACACACACACACACACACACACACACGCACATGCACACGCACACCCATACCCCTTACGCAGAGGAAGGCCGGCAGATAAATAAATGCCTGGAAACCTGCATATGCACACAGAGACCCCAGAACCATAAATGCAACCCTCCTCTCACTCACACATGCATTTGCCTCCAAGGGGAACCAGGGATATTGACTCTAATTACTAAGCAAAGTGGCGTGTGCGATAGAGAGGAACTAGCGAGTGAATAGAGCGGAGAAAGCTGCAGTGACGGGAACAGGCAGGGCTGGGGGCTGCCAGGTCAGGAGGTGTGCAGGGGAGCGTTGCCCATCCGAGACTCGGAGCAGCAATAAGCCACAGCAACAGCCCAGGGGGACCCACAGCAATAGGAGGGAAGGAAGATCTCGGAAGAGGAGGCAGGCGGACCCATGCTTGGTGTGTTGCAGGAGCCCTGGAGTCCTAGATCCCAGATACTGAATGACCCACAGGCTGGGGAGAGATCTGTCCGGGCTCAGGTAAGTCACCCCAGCTCCCCTTCCCACTCCGCACTTCCTCCTGCCCCCAGTGACATTCTCGGGGACAACGCCTAGGAACGGGGGGGGGGCAGGGAGAAGAAGAGATCTGCATAGGGGGTTAGAAAATGCTTGTAGGAGGCTAACCCCTCTCTCCAGCCCCTCCCTCCACTCTTCCTCCCCCCAGCTTGTGGCGTTCCAGCCTGGACCCTGTCTACCTGCATCACCGGGTAGGGGGCAGCAGAAGCCTAGGAAGGGAGGTGAATGGTGGCGACTTAAAAACCAGCCGGGTTGCCCTGGTTCTCTGCGAGCCCTCCGTCCCCACACTCTCTAGACCAACCCAGGCCAACCCTCAATCCCTGGACTGCACCCTCAGTCTTGTGCCTTCAGTTTTGCCTCAGGTATTTTGCCTTCTAAACAGAAGCTCTAACCATCCCATCTCACTGCCTCCCAACACCAGAAGATCGAATTAGCACCACCCCCTTCCTTCCCTAGCTGTCGCTTAAGGAGCCATCTCTGTAACCTTGGACAAGTCCCTTGTACTCTCTCTGCCTCAGTTTCCCCGTTTGTAAAATGAAGAGGTCAGAGCAGCCAGAGGCTTTTAACCTGGGATCCAGGAACTTGTTTTATTATTATTTTGATAACTGTATTTCAATGTGGATTATTTCCTTTGTGACCCTATATATTTTATTTTGTGCATCGTAAAACATTATTCTGAGAAGAGGTGCCTAGGCTTCACCGGACTGTCCGCGGGATCCAAAACGCGAAATGGCGAAGAATCTCTGGACAAGATGATTTCAGGGATACTTTTAAAGCTCTCAATCTGATGCTTCTACGATCTTGCTCTCGCGTGAAACGGATGGCTGTCTCCTCACCCCGTCTGGCCAGCCCATGCCCCATTTTAGAAAAGCCTCCCTCCATAGGGTCCCGCCTCCTTGCCCCTGCCTAGGGCTCTGTCCTTTGCCTGAGCTCCCCTTGGCCAGACAAAAGCCCTACAGGCCCCTCAGGCGGCTGTCACCCAGGCGCCGGTTGCCATGGCAACCGCTGGAGCTGTACCAGTCACCTGCCTGGCTCCTGCGGCCCCGCCCTGGTCAGAGAGCTCCACTCCCAGCAGCGGGAGCCACTTAAGTACTGGCAGGGTTTCCAGCTGTCTCCGCCCCCCTCCTCCTTTCCACTCCCCCAGGTTTCTCCGTTCTCCCTCACTCTTTCCTCCCCACCCTTGCCCCAATAACTGCATGAAAAAAAAAACCAAATAGGATGCATAGGGAGACTCAGGGGCTACCAGTTAAGCTCCTTGGTTCTCTGTGGGGTCCCCGCTTTTCGGGGTGGAGGGAGTTAGCATGAGGGGAAGGAGATCCACCAAATGTTCTCTGGGAGGGGCAAAAGATGCAGGGGTCAAGGATCTGGATTTGAGCCCATTCTCTGACATCTAATGTGTGACCTGGACCACTCACCTACCCTTTGGGGCCTCCGATCGCTCTTCTGTGAAAATGAGGGGGCGGTACTACAGCAGGGCTTTTTAACCTTTTTTGGTGATGTTCTGGTGAAGCCTGTGGGCCCCTTCTCGGAATAATGTTTCCAAATGAACAAAATGAAATACATAAAATTAAAAAAGGAAACTTATTTTTTTGAAATAGTTTTAAAAACATTAAAAAAAAATAAGTTAATGGACCCCAGGTTAAGTATTCATGGTCGGGATGACCTGTAAGGTCCCTCCAGGCTCTGAATCCTAAGAACCTATGATGGGGCAGAGCACAGCTGGGGGGTTCAGCGCCTGGGCTCCCCAGACAAGTGTAGGGCCTGGGGCTCCAGGGGCCTGGGGAAAGGCATTGCCTGAGAAGGAGAGTAGAACACCAAGTTGCTGCTAATTACAGTTTCTGAGGAACAGATATAATTACTGCCTCGTGAAGGGTTAATTACCACTAATCGGCCTGGGGAATTAGTCAATTCTCCCTTCCTTCATGAAGCCAAAATATTTACCCTCAGAAACCCCTCTCCTTCCCCCTCCCCCATTCCTTTTCCTTCTTGGACTTCCCTTGTGCATTTTATTCATAGGATCCTAATATCTGGAAGTAGAAGGGAACAGAAAGATCACAGAATCATAGCTCTAGAGGTAGAAGGAACCCAGGAGGTCATCTAATCCAACCCACTCATTTTAGAGATGAGCAAACTGAGACCCAGAGGAAAATGCTTTACCCAAGGTCACACAGCTAACAAGTGACCAAGCCTGGATTCAAATCCAGGTCCTCTGGCTCAAAGTTCATCATTCTTTCTACTGTACCACACTGCCTCTCATATCATTTACCTGTACAATGGTTAGTGACAGTGTTGGGATTAGAACCCAGGTCAGAATCACAGAATCAATCACCAAATTTTAGAGTGGGAAGGGACCTCACTGACTATCTCGTGTAGTATCCCATACATTACACATATAGATGTATGAGACTCATTCCCTGCGCGTGCGCGCGCGCGCGCACACACACACACACACACACTCACTCACACATTTTTGGTGAGGCAATCAGGGGTAAGTGACTTGCCCAGGCTCACACAACTAGTAAGTGTATGAAGCCAGATTTGGACTCAGGTCCTCCTGACTCCAGGGTTAGTGCTCTATCCACTCTTCTACCCAGCTGCTCTGTGACTCACACATATGAACAATTGACTTCCCTGTTGTTATTACCATACATTTTCAAAAATGCATTTTTATTGATAGCTTCTATTTTATATTTCTCAATGGAGCTCTCCCTTCTCTCAGAGAGCCATCTGTTATAGCAAAGAATAAAAAAAAATGGGGGCAGGGGATAGGTAAATAGTCTCGCAAAATTAGCCAACATATTGAAAAAGTCTTACCTATCCACCCCCATCCGCCCCCTGCTCTGCAAAGAAGTGTATGCGTGGGGGGTGCCTTCCTTTTGCACCCAGCTTGATCATTATAATTTCACAGTATTCAGTGTTGATTGGTTTGTTGCTGTTCCTTCCAGGTACATTGCTATACAGTGTTATCCTAGTTCTGCTCCTTCACTTTGCATCAAGTCATCTGAGTCTTCTCATGCTTCTCCAAAGTCATCCGATTCACCATTTCTTACAACAGCTTTGCACCATCATCATCATCATCATCATCATCATCATCATCATCATCATCATCGGGGGAACAAAGGGTCACAATATATCTCAATGGCCAAGGAAGGTTTCAAGGAGGAAGCGAGACTTGACTAGTTGGATTTGGACAGGCCAAGATAAAGAGAGAATGGTGTGACCAAAGGAATAGAGGGGAATCCACAGAATGTGCAGGGCACCTTTCCAGATGCTCTACTTAAGTAGAATGGTGCCATGAATGTTGGTGTCCTTAGACCTTAGACTTGTGTTCAAATCCTGGCTCTTTTACTACCAGACTCACCTTGGGCAAGTTCCTTTCTTATTCTTGGGCTTGGTTTCTTTATAAAATTAGAAGACTGAACTAAATGATCACTAGATGCTTTCCAGCTTTAAATTCTATGGTGAATGCTTTGGTTCTCTGGTGGACCCATGGTATCAGGGGTTTGGGTACTCCCTCCTCTACAGGAATGACTTACAAACCCACTACCACCCTTGTTTTTAATTTTGTGCCCTTCTTATCTGAGCCTTCTCATAAACCTCACTCTGGACAGACCTTCATCTAGTTCTTTAATATCTCAGGAATACAAATGTTCCAGCTGGGCCATCCATCCATCCATCCATCCATCCATCCATCCATCCATCCATCCATCCACCCATCATCCCTTGCTCTTATTACGCTAC